TACAGCGTTGGTTATCATGTCCAGTGCTGAGGTTAGGTCTCTATAATTCATGGCTGATGATTTGAACTCAAGACTTTCCAATTATCCGTTTATTCTTTGTGGTGTTTCTTGTTTCTCTGCTTGATCTTTGCATGCAAACAGTTCTTTTCCAGATCTTCCCCCCCGGCGAAAAGGCCTTACTGGTGCATTATTTAAACTGTTATGTTTATTCATATCATGATCTGATCACCATACTCAATATATCCCATATGCATGGGGGTATTGGGGTAATGATACAAAAGGTTTGCTAGGTAGACCCTCTTTCACTCAGACTCAGCCCCCCCCCCCGAAACTCAGCCCCCCTGAAAGCCCCCCTGAAAAAAACTCAGCCCCCCTCGAATCGACATCCTGGCTACGGGCCTGTTTGCACCTATGCATCTATCTATCTATGTATGGATGCATGTATGCATGCATGGATGCAATCATATGGATAGGTGCATCTATGGCACCTATCCATATATCTCTGCATAGTTATCTATATCTATCTATGCATCTAACTATGCACCTGTCATCTTTGCACCTCTCTCTCTCTCTCTCTCTCTCTATATATATATATATCCATGCGTATCTCCCTCTGCCTGTCTATCTAGCTATGCATATCTGTCTCTCTATGCATCTATCTATACATATCTATCTATTTATCTATATATCTATGTATGCTTGCATACATGCATCTATCTACGCACCTATCCACACATATCTCTCTCTATCTATCTATCTATCTATCTATCTATCTATCTATCTGTGCACCTATTTATCTTTGCACCTATGTTGTTCATTCGTTCAGTTGTCTCCGACTCTTCGTGACCTCATGGACCAGCCCACGTCAGAGCTCCCTGCCGGCCGTCACCACCCCCAGCTCCTTCAAGGTCCGTCCAGTCACTTCAAGGATGCCATCCATCCATCTTGCCCTTGGTCGGCCCCTCTTCCTTTTACCTTCCACTTTCCCCAGCATCATTGTCTTCTCCAGGCTTTGCTGTCTCCTCATGATGTGGCCAAAGTACTTCAACTTTGTCTCTAGTATCCTTCCCTCCAATGAGCAGTCGGGCTTTATTTCCTGGAGGATGGACTTTGCACCTATCTAAATATCTATTTATCTATGTGTATCTATCTATGTCTCTATCTCTGCACCTATCTTTGCACCTATGCACCTGTGTATATATCCATATCTGTCTGTCTGTCTGTTTATCTATCTATATCAATCGATCGATCTGTCAATGCATGCATACATGCATCTATCTGTGCACCTCTCTATCTTTGCACCTATGCATGCATCTATCCATCTATCTATCTATCTATCTATCTATCTATCTATCTATCTATCTATCATCTATCTATGCATGCATCCATATATCTCTGCATAGCTATCTATATCTATACATTTAGCTATGCACCTGTCATCTTTGCACCTGTCTCTCTTTGTAGATCTATGCATATTTAGCTATCTATGCATCTGTCTCTGCATCTATCTTTGCACCTATGCACCTGTGTGTGTGTGTATCTTTCTGTCTGTCTGTCTGTCTATCTATCTATCTATCTATCTATCTATCTATCTATCTATTAGACTTGGTTGATCCAATTTGTTAATTTCTTAATTCGTTATTAATTCGTTATTTTAATACCTTTAGAAGCGATATCAACGCGTTTTGGCAACCCGGAAGTGTTTTTGCCATATCAAAGCCGCGTCCGCCATCTTCCTTACGACTTCCACCAGTGAATCGTAAATGCTGGGGGCGTGGCCTTTAGGAACAGCTGTTCTTACCCACGCCCACCTCCTTCCTCTTTGCATCYGRGGCTTTGRGAGGTGGGCYTGACTACCTCCRTGGVGACAAGCGGCGATGCGGAAGAGCTMGYCGTAGCCYRGCCCACCTRYCAAAYCCYCRGATGCAAAMAGGAWGGKGYTGGGSYRGGCCAAGCACAGCYKTCKTRGCTRHGAGGTSGCTGYGGGRYAGGCCTCCYAGGAGCMCTGTSCTTGGCCACGRCCACCTCTCCCTTGGACAGCTTGCCAGGGAAGAGAAAGAAAGGTGAGAGATTTAAAAACCAACACTTTTAAAATCTCTCACCTTTCTTTGTCTTCCCTGGCATTGCTGGCAAGCTGTCCAAGGGAGAGGTGGGAGTGGCCAAGCACAGCGCTCCTTACTCWGAGGTGGCTGGGGGCGAGGCCTCRGAGGAGCTCTGTSCTTGGCCARGCCCACCTCTCCCTTGGACAGCTTGCCAGGGAYGYGAAAGAAAGGTGAGAGATTTAAAAACCAACACTTTTAAAATCTCTCACCTTTCTTTCTCTTCCCTGGCAAGCTGTCCAAGGGAGAGGTGGGCGTGGCCCCAAGCACAGAGCTCTTCGGAAGTCGCTYGGGGRGAGACCTCCAAGGAACTTGCTTGGCCATGCCCACCTCTCCCTTCTGCTGCAAGGGATGGAAGGGAAACTGCGAGATTTTAATGTTTCTGGGGGGAGGGAAGGGCACCTTCCATTAACGAAACAAAGGAAACGATTTGTATTTCCTGGTAATTTCGATCTTTTTTAAAAGAAAATTTCAGAAATAATTTAAAAATCGAACGTCCAGCACCCCTACATACGAAACAAGTTTAGAACCATTTTTTTCTTGATCAACCAAGCCTACTATCTATCTATCTATCTATCTGTCTATCTATCTATCTATCTATCTTTGCCTCTATCTATCTATCTATCTGTGCACCTCTCTATCTTTGCACCTATGTGCCTATATATATATCTATGCATATCTATCTATGTGTATCTATCTATGCATCTGTTTGTTCACCTATTTTTTGCATCTATCTATCTATCTATCTATCTATCTATCTATCTATGCATGCATGCATGCATACATGCGTCTATGTGTGCACCTCTATCTTTGCACCCAAGTGTCTTCCTCCCTTAACCTCATTGCCTTTTTATCTGAGTGATAAAGATCAGAAAACCAAATGTTGCATGGAGGAATAATAGGCAGTGGCTTTTGGGTGGAATTCAGGGTTTATTTGCCATCTCGTGATAAGATGAGCGTACGCTTTCCTGTTTTGCTGGTTCTCAGCTTTGCAGAAGGAGGCATACAGACCTCTTTGCTTAACCTGTTTCCACTGCAGCCTGGCAAAGAAAAGAACTAAAATTTCCGTCCTTTTCCTTCCGGCCTGTCCTTACTTCCTACCAGGGACTGAGGCCAGCAAATCTTTAAAGCTTTCAAACTAGTGTCAAAGTTGTCACTGATGGCACAATCACATTGGAAGGATATTCTAGAGAAGCGTTTCTCAACCTGGGGTTCGGGACCCCTGGGGGGGTCGTGAGGGGGTGTCAGAGGGGTCGCCAAAGACTATCAGAAAATGTATTTATTTTATTTATTTCATGCATTTCTACCCCACCCTTCTCTCCCGAAGGGCAGCCTCACACAAGCACCGAAAAACACAGTATTTTCTGTTGGTACTGGGAGTTCTGTGTGGGAAGTTTGGCCCAATTCTATCATTGGTGGGGTTCAGAATACTAGTTGATTGTAGGTGAACTATAAATCTCAGCAACTACAACTCCCAAATGTCAAGGTCTATTTCCCCCCAAACTCCACCAGTGTTCACAGTTGGGCATATTGAGTATTCGTGTCGAATTGGGTCCAGATCCATCATTGTTTGAGTGACCCACAGTGCTCTCTCAATGTAGGTGAACTACAACTCCAAAACTCAAGGCCAGTGCCCACCAAATCCTTCCAGTATTTTGTGTTGGTCATGGAAGATCTGTGTGCCAAGTTTGGTTCAATTCCATCGTTGGTGGAGTTCAGAATGCTCTTTAATTGTAGGTGAACTATAAATCCCAGCAACTACAACTCCCAAATGACAAAATTAATCTCTCACCCCCAACCTCATCAGTATTCAATTTTGGGCATATCAGGTATTTGTGCCAAATTTGGTCCGGTGATTTTTTTTTTTGTCGTGTCAGTAGCAACTTGAGAGACTGCAAGTCGTTTCTGTTGTGAGAGAATTGGCCATCTGCAAGGACGTTGCCCAGGGGACGCCTGGATGATTTTTGATGTTTTATCATCCTTATGGGAGGCTTCTCTCATGTCCCCGCATAAGGTGCTGGAGCTGATAGAGGGAGCTTATCCATGCTCTCCCAGGAATCGAACCTGCAACCTGTCAGTCTTCAGTCCTGCCGGCACAGGGGTTTAACCCACTGTGCCACCGGGGGCTCTAGTGAATGAAAAAACACCCTTGCATATCAGATATTTACATTACAATTCATAACAGTAGTAAAATTACAGTTATGAAGTAGTGATGGGGAGATATTGGAAAAATAGATATTTATTTATGTATAAATTGTGTGTACTTTACAAGCATTGAAATGTATAGAAAAATCTGGTTCTCTCCGGTGTAAGAAAGCCAGCAGGACAGAGAAGGAATGTTGAAAGGGGGAGAAGAGGGGGACATGTTATCTATACATTCCAGATACAGAGACTGGTGCCAAGGAGCCTATCCCCCCTCCCTCATGACAAGTCAAAGGAGGCCCCTTGATTGATGAATGTAAGCTGTAAGCTGTACGCTTCTCTTTAGAAAGAAATACAGAGACATGCGTTTTGTATGTTGGAAGATAGAATTTGATATTCCTGTGATGCTAAAGTGACACAGAGAATGTTGTCAATGTATGTAGAAGCATGCTTTTTGTTTGCCTGCATGTGAAGGGTATAAAAGGCAGTCAATGCATTTATCAGATGCTCTTGTTGCTTTTGGACACAGCTCCACTCCAGAGTCCCAGCTGGAAATAAAACCATGCTTTTTCAAACCTCAGGAACTCTCTTTGTCTCTTTTCCTCAAACTTTCTCCCTGCCATTTCAGTAGCAGCAAAAATAATTATATGGTTGGGGGTCACCACATGAGGAACTGTCTTAAGGGGTCGAGGCATTAGGAAGGTTGAGAACCACTGTTCTAGAGGCTTTTTTCTAATTTTATTGTTATTTTTGTTATAGGTAGAAAATGTCAAATTACTAGATCGCTACACCAACCGGAAGCCGGCAAATGGAACTTTATACCTGACGGCGACTCACCTTATTTACGTCGACGCTTTGGCCGAAGTCCGGAAGGAGACCTGGGTAAGAAGAGAGACACCAAATTTGGACACAAGGCACCTATCAGGCCAACGAGTGACCATCACTCGAAAAAACGCTGAAAAACACATTAGAAGAGACTTTAAAAGCAAAAAAATACACTACAATGCATGCGCAAAACTACATATATGCACAAATGTATACACACACATATACACAGACTGGGCCACAGCAACGTGTGGCAGGGAGTGGCTAGTAGGTTCATAAAAGTCAATGAAAACATAAATGCTTAGCGCCTCCTTACTGAAATCGCTATTCGGTCCCATCATCAGTCGTTCCGTGGTCTATCATTGCCTGTTACATTGCATTTGCAAATGCCTGCACAAAAAGCTCAAAAAGTTCTAACCTTTCTGCGAAATGTTAAGAGAGAGGGGGGTGATCTAATATCCCCAGGAAGGGTGTTCCATAGTCGAGGGGCCACTATTGAGAAGGCCCTGTCTCTCGTTCCTGCCAAACCAGTGGTTCTCAACCTGTGAGTCCCCAGATGTTTTGGCCTTCAACTCCCAGAAATCCTAACAGCTGGTAAACTGGCTGGGATTTCTGGGAATTGTAGGCCAAAACACCTGGGGACCCACAAGTTGAGAACCACTGTGGCAAACGCATCAGAGACGGAGGCGGGACCGAGAGCAGGGCCTCCCAAACGATCTTAAAGTCCTAGATGGTTCATAAGGGGAGATTCGTTCAGACAGGTAAGCTGTCTGAATGAATGGCCTTGCAGCTTCAAAGCCTGGCTGCTTCCACCATGGGGGAATCCTTTGTTGGGAGGTGTTAGCTGGCCCTGATCTGTCTCCCAGTATTTTAAAAAAAACTAGAATCAATACAGTAAATAATGTATTGGGAGGGGCCTCCCAACTGATGATATAGGCAGAAGACAAGGTGGAAATGCCTTCTGCTACCCTCTGTCTTCACTCTGGCCATTTATATAGTATATTGTATATACGTATAAGGTTTATAATATTATAATGTACTACAATATAATACTAGTAATAATAATATACTATAAATATAATTATATATTTACATGACATGTAATATTACTAATAATATTACAATATAATAGTATAGTGCAATATAGTAATATATAATACTAACAAGCCGTCCCCTGCCACGTGTTGCTGTGGCCCACATGGGGGTTCTGTGTGGGAGGTTTGGCCCAATTCTATCGTTGGTGGGGTTCAGAATGCTCTGTGATTGTAGGTGAACTATAAATCCCAGCAACTACAACTCCCAAATGTCAAGATTCTATTTCCCCCAAGCTCCACCAGTGTTCACATTTGGGCATATTGAGTATTCGTGTAGAGTTTGGTCCAGATCCATCATTGTTTGAGTCCACAGTCATCCTTGGATGTAGGTGAACTACAACTCCAAAACCAAAGGACACTGCCCACCAAACCCTTCCAGTATTTTCTGTTGGTCATGGGAGATCTGTGTGCCAAGTTTGGTTCAATTCCATCGTTGGTGGTTCAGAATGCTCTTTGATTGTAGGTGAACTATAAATCCCAGCAACTACAACTCCCAAATGACAAAATCAATTTTTTTGAGTGAAGGACATACATTGGGTTGTTAGGTGTCTTGTGTCCAAATTTGGTGTCAATTCGTCCGGCGGTTTTTGAGTTCCGTTAATCCCACAAACAAACATTACATTTTTATTTATATAGATATTGTATTATGCTAAGAATATAATATATTGTATGAAAATATATCCTGTAAGCCACTCCGAGTCCCCTTTGGGGTGAGAAGGGCGGCATATAAATGCCGTAAATCAGGGGTCCTCAAACTTTTTAAACAGAGGGCCAGGTCACAGTACCTCAAACTGTTGGAGGGCCGGGTTATAATTTGAAAAAACATGAATGAATTCCTATGCACACTGCACATATCTTATTTGTAGTGCAAAAACCACTTAAAAAATACAATAATTAAAATGAAGAACAATTTAACAAATATAAACTTATTAGTATTTCAATGGGAAGTGTGGGCCTGCTTTTGGCTGATGAGACAGGATTGTTGTGTGCTTTCAAGTAATTTCAGACTTAGGTTGACACTGAGCGAGGGCCGGGTAAATGACCTTGGAGGGCCGTATCCGGCCCCCGGGCCTTAGTTTGAGGACCCCTGCCGTAAATAAATAAAGAGCAACACTCATTAAATAGGGGAATTCCAGACAGGAAACAATCAGGGCCAGCTAACACCTCTTTGGGCTTCGGTTGCTATTGAACCCCATCCTCCTGACTTGCACCAAGAATAAGGTTTGCAAGCAGATAAGCTCCCAATCATTGTCCCTTCTTTTTCTGTTCCCAATAGATTCTTCACCACCACATTGCATCCGTGGAGAAGTTGCCGCTGACTGCCTCGGGATGTCCGCTGCTGATCCGTTGCAAGAACTTCCGCACAGCACACTTTGTCGTTGGGCAAGAGCGGGACTGCCATGAAGTCTACGTCTCCTTGCTGAAGCTCTCCCAGCCAGGTATCAGGCAGAAACGTAACTTATTTCCTGTGTGGTTGAAGGCTTTCATGACCAAAATCACTGGGTTGTTGTGAGTTTTCTGGGCTGTATGGCCATGTTCCAGAAGCATTCTCTCCTGACATTTCACCCACATCTCTGGCAGGCATCCTCAGAGGTTGTGAGGTCTGCTAGAAGCTAGGAAAATGGGGTTTATATATCTCTGGAATGTCCAGGGTGGGAGAAAGAACTCGTCTGTTTGAGGCAAATGTGAATGTCGAATGTTTATTTATTTATTTATTTGCGACATTTGTATGCCGCCCTTCTCACCCCGAAGGGAACTCAGAGCAGCTTACAAGATACACACACACACACAATACATTATACCATTAACACAGTACAATATCAGCGCTATACTTCACTATATTGTACTATACAATTATATTGTAATATTATTAGTTAATATTACATGTAATATAAAATATATAATTATAATATCATATAATAATTATTAGTATTATACTGCATATTATATATTAGAATAGCACAAGAGACAAGGTGGAACTGTCCCCTGGCCTCCCCTGTCTTCATTCTGGCTCACCTTGATTAACATGTAATGGTCTAGCAGCTTCAAAGCCTGGCTTCCTGCTTGTGGGAATTCTTTGTTGGGAAGTGTTAGCTGGCCCTAATTGTTTCATGTTTGGAATTCCCATTTTTGAGTGATGCTCTTTATTTACTGTTCTGATTCTAGTTTGTTTGTTTTTTTAAATACTGGTAGCTAGATTTTATTCATTTTCATGGTTTCCTCCTTTCTGTTGGGCTGTATGGCCATGTTCCAGAAGCATTCTCTCCTGACGTTTCGCCCACATCTGTGGCAGGCATCCTTGTGGATTTCAATGGCTTCTTTGTGTAGTCTGACATGATGGTTATCAGACATGATGGTTGTCAGAGTGAATTCCCAGACTCCCCATTGGACATGCAGGTTAAGAACCATAGATTTGGAAGAGGCCGTAAGGAACATCTGTTCCAAGCATGGGCCAACTTGCTCCCTCCTGGTAGACTGTTAGGAATTGTTGGATTTGGAGTCCAAAACACCTGGAGGAAGGGTCGAAGAAATCTTATTTTCTCTTGTCTTAATAAAATGGCTTCTTTTCTGCTTCAGTGAAACCCGAAGAGCTATATGCCTTCTCTTACAATCCCAAAATGCCCAAAGACAATCGGGAAGCCGGCTGGAAGTTGATTGACGTCAGAGTGGATTACCAGAGGATGGGGATCCCCAATGACTACTGGGAAATGACCGACTTCAACAAAGACTATGAGGTAATACAAGGTTTTCTTTAGCCTATATGAATGGGGCATTAATGCAACACACTCACAGCATATTATTTATTTATTTATTTATTTATTTTCCGCTCTATCTCCTCGAAGGGACTTGGAGCAGATTATAACATACATAGAGAGTGTTTCACTCCAGACCAGGAAGAGCCCTCTGACTTTAAACACCACAGAAATGTAATCCGTTTATTGAAGATAATTAAAAAGCAGTAAAAGTAAAAAAACACTTTACAGGTATAGGTAAATCCAATTAGGTAGGAAGATAAGCTGGAACAAAATAGTCCACAGAATTAGTCCATCAATGTTTTTCATGGACTTTGATGGACTAATTCTTTGGACTATTTTGTTCCAGCTTATCTTCCTACCTAATTGGATTTACCTATACCTTTGAAGTGCTTTTTGCTTTGACTGCTTTTTAAGGCAGAAACTTCTATAGTAAAATCCAAAACACTGGAAACATGAATCCAAAGCACTTAAGCACTTAATCATAAAATCCAAGAATCAAAACATGAATCAAAGGCACTTAAAACATGAATCTTTCCAAGGAACAGGGACAAGATCTTGACTTGATTCCAAACGATGTTTCATCTGACTATAGATCCTGTACTTGGGACTTTTATCTCCTCGTTAAGCTATGTCCCAAGCGGCCAGAAATTGGTTTCGCTTTAACCTTGAATCTCTTATCTTTTTGTCCTATAAGCACGGCAGAACACCGGAGTCACTGATCTACTTTCCTGTTTTGACTAATCACAACCCGTCTATCTATTTGCTCATTAATTTCTGCAGCTGGGCCAGGTACCGAGCTGTTCTCAGTCTCCAAATCATGGGAATCCTCTGATAGCAATTCAGGGAGCACACCATCATCCCCACACCCTTCAGGGACATTCTCATGAGAAAATACAGTTTGAACAGGGATCTCCTGGTCATTCTCTGCATCAATATCATTGGAAACACCATTACCTTCATGAACCACATTGTCATCGCTCTCCACATCCAAAGCATCCTGATCCTTAAACACAATCACAGGCAAACATTCAATGCCTTTAATACAGTGGGATAACAGTGACATACAGATATCACCGAACAAAGGTAAAGGCTTTGTCAGAAATTTTAAAAATTAACTAGGTATTTTTCATTACACAAATGTGTCTTCAAGCACTGAAAGAGTTGGTAGGCTAAATCCTGTTAGAGTCAGTGGACCAAAGCTAGTGTCATCCTGAGGAGTGTGAAAATGCCTCAGTGTGAGAAAGCTCCAGTATGAGAAGCCTTATGTTAGAAAGCTCCAGTATAAAGGCTGCTGTGTGTAAAAAGCTACTGTGTGAAGCTCCAGTATCAGTTTGGTCTGAGAGAAATCTGTGTGAGAGAACACCTCAGGGGGAAAATAGGTCAGAGTGTGAGGTAGACCTCATTATGAGAAAGCCTCGTATGTAAAGCTCCAGTGTGAAGGTTGAGCTTTATTTGTGTTATGGAAACCTTATTTTTGGATACCCACCTCAGCTCATTGGAAATTGTAAATTACCTTATGCTTATGATTTTAATGCCTCTTTGTTTACTCTGTAATCAGTAGGATTTTACCATGGTAAATGTGTGTGATGTGTTAGATTTGTTTATTTCAAGTTTAATTTTGATTAATTTTGGTTTAGTTTTGTTTATAGGTTTATATTGAGATTGTTTGTTTTGATATGATTAATTGCTCGTCTGTTTGGCATTGAATTTTTGCCATTTCATTAGTTGTATCTCCCCTCAGTCCTTGAAGTGACTGGACTGACCTTGAAGGAGCTGGGGGTGGTGACGGCCGACAGGGAGCTCTGGCGTGGGCTGGTCCATGAGGTCACAAAGAGTCGGAGACGACTAAACGAATGAACAACAAATCTCCCCTCAGGGAGACAGGGCGGGTTATAAATGAATTATTATTATTATTATTATTATTATTATTATTATTATTATTATTATTATTATTGGAAAGCCTATGGAGCTGTCTGACATAGCCAGTCCTAATGCTAACCTCTTCTGAGATTTAAAAAATTGATACCACTTGCATCTTGTTGGTGCGTTTTGGTTACCGTATATACCCAAGTATAAGCCAACCTGAATATAAGCCAAGACATCTAATCAATGCATCTGGGAAAATGCATTGACTCGAGTATAAACTGAGGATGGAAACTTCAGCAACTACTGGTAAATTTCAAAATAAAAATAGATACCAATAAAATTACATTAATTGAGGCAACTGTAGGTTAAATGGTTTTGATTATTTACATAAAACTGTAATTTAAGGTAAGACTGACGAACTCTGATTAAACCATTACTTTAACCTTCTTCAATCTAAATGTGGTTAGATGTGGTCCTTCCAATAATAATAGAGTAAAATAATAAAAGTAATAAAATAATAATAATAATAGAGTAAAATAATGTAAATGTAATAATAACAATAATACAGTAAAATAATAAATCATAATAAAAATAGAGAAAAATAATCAATGTAATAATAATAGAGAAAATAATAAATATAGTAAAATAATAATAGAGTAAAACAATGACTGTAATAATAACAGTAATAAGTAGAGTAAAATAATAAATATAATAATAATGACACTAATAAAGTAAAATAATAAATATAAAATAATAATTATTTATTTATTTATTTACTACACATATATTTTTACATATAATAAATGTAAAAAGAACAATAATAAACAGAGTAAACTAATAAATAGAATAGTAATAATAGTAAATAGAGTAAACTAATGAATGTAATAATAATAAATAGAGAAAAACAATAAATGTAATAATAATAAATAGAGAAAAATAATAAATGTAATAATAACAATAATGGAGAAAAATCATAAATGAAATTATAATAGAGAAACATAATAAATAACTTTGACTTGTGTATACGCCGAGTGGGACTTTTTCAGCCTTAATAAAGGGTTGAAAAACTCGGCTTATACTCGAGTACATAAGGTACTAGCTGTGCCCTGCCATGCATTGCTGTGGCCTATAGCATGAATTTTTGAAGTAGCGGTAGATATCTGGACTATTATGAAAGAGCAGTACGTACCTATTCCTTCCCTCCTTTTTCTTCCCCTTCCTCTTCCCCTTCCTTTCCTTTCTTCCTTCCACCTGTTTTTTTCCATTCCTTCTTTTGTTCTTTGGTTTCATCCTTCCTTCTCTCTTTCCTTCCTTCCCTCCCCCTTTCTCTACTTCTTCCTTTGTCTCTTTCTTCTGTCCCTGTTTCCTTCCTTCTTTCACTTTTTATTTCCTTTCCTCCTTCCTTCCTTCTTTACCTATTTCCTGCCTTTCCTCCCCTTTTCCTTTCCTATCTATTTTCTTTTCTTCCTTCCTTCAGTACTTCTTTCTTTCCTTCCTTCTCTCCCTTCCTTCCCTCCTTCCTTCTTTCCTCCCTCCTTCTCTCTTTCCCTCCTACATTCCTTCCCTTTTTCCCTCCCTCCTTTCTTCTCTCCTTCCTTCCTGCCTATTCTCCCACAATACTATGGTAGAGTCCCTTCTAACTCTATTCTATGAGTCTATTTAATATAGAAATATTTTGAATTTAAAGGTATTTTTGTGGGGTTTTTTTCAGTAATGGTCACTCCTTGGATTGTGAAGAGTTTTGTTGCTAAATTTGGGGTCATTTGGCCCAGTAGTTTTTTTGTTTTTAAGGTACTAATTACGCACAGCATTTTTATATACTCGAGTATAAGCCTAGGTTTTCAGCCCCTTTTTTAGGCTGAAAAATCTCCCCTCGGCTTATTCTCGAGTCAATGTTATTTACTATTTTACTCTGTTACTAGTATTATTTTTATTGCATTTATTATTTTACTCTTTATTGTTATTATAACATTTATTATTTTACTCCCTTTATTATTATTGGAAGAATATGTAAGCACATTTACATTGAAGAAGGTTAGAATAATGGTTTAATGAGTTGGACAGCTTTATCTTAAATTACAATTTTATTTAAATATCTTTTAATATTTATTCTACTGATGCCCCAATTAATGTAATTTTATCGGTATCTGTACAGGAGTTGATTATAAATTGTATGATTTTAACTATATTTGTGTTTTGATTGGCTGCAGTAATGCTGGAGCGGCCTAAGTCAGAGGAGTCCTCCATGTGCGTTGCCATGGAGACCGATGCAGGAGAGAGGGAAGTGGGAGGAGCTTAGAGGGGAGAGTTTGAAAAAACGACAGTTAAAAATCAGTTAGGGGTTTAGGTTTAGAGGAGTGAGCAGTCAGGAGTTAGGTTCAGAGGAGTGAGGAGTTAGGAGTTGGGAGAGAAGGAAAGGAAAGGAGGTGGAGTGACTTGTGAAGCAAAGCTTTGAGGCTTTGAAAAGCTGGGTTTGGCTATTGGAAGTTTCTCAGGCTAGTGCAGCCGAATGGTGAAACATAGCTGGTATTCTTTTAGTCTAAGGAGAGGCTAAAGAATAGTTTACTTAGTATTTGATCTAGGGAGGATCAAATAAGGGAAACATCCCTGTATTGAAACTTTGTCTGAAACAAGTGCTCTACGTCAGAAAGATACTGTGTTACTTGAAAGAATGAACTGTTAAAGTTACAAGTATTATTCCAAGTGCAACAAAGAAAAGTTACGTCTTGCAACCACACGCTGTGTACTTAATAAAATTGTTAACTTTTATTTGAAGATTGCCTCCACTCCGTCTATTCTGTGTCCAAAGTGCCATTTCTCACAATATTACAACTTACCTCATGTGGTGGCAGAAACGCAGGGAAAAGTAACCAAATAAATCTACATTCTTCTCTCCAGTCACGCTACAGTATATACAGTGTAATTACTACTAAGTTATTACTTTCTTAATAAAGGAGGAGGTGCAATTGAACAGCCTCCCTTCCAACTTGATGGTAAATTTGGTTCCTAATCGGCAACCTCCATTGCAAATCGGCCAGTTCTTTTAAAATTGGGAACTGGGGTAAAACCTCCTGAATACTGGTTCTTTTCAGTATCTATTTCTATTTTGAAACTTACCAGTAGCTGCTGCATTTCTCGCCCTTGGCTTATACTCGAGTCAATACATTTTCCCAGTTTTTTGTGGTAAAATTAGGTGCCTCGGCTTATATTCAGGTCGGCTTATACTCGAGTATATACGGTATATAGGTTTGCAATAGCAAGATGTTATAGGCACTGTTGTGTTTAAATACCATTGAATGGACTTCTCTTCTTGCAGCCGATTTTGCTTAAATAACTGCGGGGTGTATGATAGTCAGCAAGCGCTCCGCTGCAGGTCTGTAATAACTGTTCCAGCGAGTTAATATCACACTGATGAATAATTTAACCTTGGAGCCCTCCTATTTATGTCTTTTCTTTGTGGCCTCAGGTCTGCAGTACTTACTCCCCGCATCTCGCCTTGCCCAAAGCGGCCACCAGGGGGACGGTGCTGGCCAGCGCAAAGTTTCGGAGCCGAGGTCGGATCCCAGTGCTTTCCTACTTCCACAAAGAGAATAATGTTAGTCGTGCATGTTCTGTTATTTATGGGGTTTGCTCTGCTTCCCAGAATCCGTGGCTTTCCAACTCAATATCCTCCGCCTGGTGTTGAGTCTTGGCTATGTCTGTAAAGCCGGCAGTAGATGTAGGGTGTGTCTGCACTGTAGAATTAATGCAGTCTGACATCACTTTAACTCCCATGGTTTAATGTTATGGAATTGTGGGAGCTGTAGTTTGACAAGTTATTTCACCTTCCCTTTCAAATAGGGCTCACCAAACTACAACAACAATGTGTTTCCTCCTCCTCCTCCTCCTCCTCCTTGAAGAAGGCTTTCATGGCTGGAATCACTGGGTCATCCCACAAACGAACATTACATTTTTATTTATATAGATTTAAACCCTACCTTTCTCCCTAAAAACACGGTCCTGGCTTACAAAAAATATATCCTATTATAAAAGACAAAACACAATGAAGCCAGATTAAAATAGGTTCGAAGCATAGTAAAATAGAACAATCCTCCCCATTAAAAGCCTGGATGAAAGATGCTTGTCATTGCTTTTTTGCTTCTTGTGACCTTTTCCTGGAATTCCATCTGGATTGGAGGCAACCCAGATCTGCATCTGAAACAAGGAAATAGCTTGGGACCGGAAGGGTGGGGTGTTTTGATGTTTTCCAAAATGCAACTTGATGAAAAGGAAGTCCTTGCAGAATAAAATGCTGAATTCTGAGTTTTTCTCTCTGCTGGCTCTGCAAAAAGGGGCAAAACTCTTTCACAACCGAGTTTCCTGAAATGCCATTGTCTTCCTCTCTGAAATTGCACACAGATTTATTTTAATGTTGAGCAATACATTTATTCTATCCTAGCTTGGGTATCCAGGTTATTTGAAAAAGTCAGTTTATTTGTTTATTTTTTTTGGTCGTGTCAGGAGCGACTTGAGAAACTGCAAATTGCTTCTGGTGTGAGAGAATTGGCCATCTGCAAGGACATTGCCTGGGGGACACCCGGATGATTTGATGTTTTTATCATCCTTGTGGGAGGCTTCTCTCATGTCCCTGCATGAGGAGCTGGAGCTGATAGAGGGAGCTCATCCGCCTCTCTCTGGATTCGAACCTGCGACCTGTCCTTACCTGCGACCTGACTTCAGTCCTGCTGGCACAAGGGTTTAACCCACTGCGCCACCGGGGGCTCCAGTCAGTTTATTAATTGTACACAATGCATAGGTTTGTGGATGAACTACAACTCCCATCATGCCAAGTTAACCCCCAGAAACTCCATCAGTACTTAAAGTTTGTTATGTTGGACAGGTTTACTCTAGACGCATCATTGGTGAGATTCAGCATGCTCTCTGACTGTAGGGTAAACAACAAATCCCACTATGGTGAGTCAGTTCCCTCAAACGCCTTCAGTAGGTTGAGTTAGTCATGAGAGTTCTGTATGTCAAGTTTGGTCCAGGTCCATCATTGGTGGAGGTCACAGTTTTTCTGGTTGTGGGTGAACTACAACTCCCAGAAAGGAAGATCAATCCCCCCAAGCCCCTCCAGTAATTAAATTTCGGCATTTCAGGTATGTCTGCCAAGTTTGGTTCAGATCCATTGGAGTTTGGGTTCACAGTGCTCTTTGGATGTAGATGAACTTCAACTCCCTTAAATCAAGGTGAATTTCTCCCAAAGACCTCCAGTATGTTTTGCTGCTCATGGGGGGTATGTGTACCAAGTTTGGTCCAATTCCATCTTTGGTGGAGTTCAGAATGCTCATTGATTGCAGGTGAACTAAAAAGCCCAGTTCCTACAATTCCAAAATGTTCATGCCAATTCCCCTCAAAATCCACCAGTATTCAAATTTGGGCAAATTGAGCATGCATACCAAGTTTGGTACAGATCCATCGTTTGGATTCATAGTGCACTCTGGATGTAGGCGAACTACAAATCCTGTAAATCCCTCCAAAGACCTCAAGTATGTTTTATTGGTCATGTGGGTTCTTTGTGCCAAGTTAGTTCCAGGTCCATCGTTGGTGGAGTTCAGAGTGCCCTTAGATTGCAGGTGAACTATATATCCCAGGACTATACATCCCAACTCCTATAAATCATGTGAATTCTCCCCAAACCTCACTAGCAGGTTCAGCTGGTGATCAATGCCTCGGTTTGTTGTGTGGCATAGAAAAGAATAGGCAAGGGTTAAGGAAGAGGTAGTGGGCGGAGCCATGCAAATTCTACACCAAAGGAGAGAGTCAGGAACACTAGGATGTCTGTGGTAGAGGAAAAACAGAAAATCTAGGACAAAATTGTCCCTTTATAAAAGCCTTCCCTTGGGTGGTGGGCAATATGGTGTTTGTGGAAGACATTGGTACATGTTTACGGCACTCACTATAACCCGCAATGTCATTGGAGGGAGAGCCTTTGGTGCCTCCTGAATAGTCGGAGCTATAGCTGTTTGTAGAGGCAGGAGCTTGTCTGGGTAAGGAGTGGTTTTACCAATTTCTCACTCTGATATAGAGCCAATTATCCATTCAATAATAGAGTAAACTTATAAATGCAATAATAATAAATAGAGTAGGCTAATGAATGTAATAATAACAATAATAATAGATGTAATAATAATACAAGAGAAAAATAATAAATGTAATAGTAATAATAATAGAATAAAATAATTAATATAATAATAATAGAGAAAAATAATAAACAACTTTGACTTGAGTATACGCCGAGCGGGACTTTTTCAGCCTTAAAAAATTAGAGTAAACTAATTAACGTAAACTAATGAATGTAATAGTAATAATAATAGAGAAAAATATACATGTAATAATAAAAGAGAAAATAATAAATGTAATAATAGCAATAATAGAGTAAAATAATATAATAATAGAGAAAAATAATAAATGTAATAATAACAAAAATAATACATGTAATAATAATAAAAGAGAAAGATAATAAATGTAATAATAACAATAATAGAGTAAAATAATAAATATAATAATAATAGAGAAGAATAATACATAACTTTGACTCGAGTATACGCCGAGCGGGACTTTTTCAGACTTAAAAAATTAGTTAGAGTAAACTAATAAATGTAATAATAATAAATAGAGTAAACTAATGAATGTAATAATAATAATAATAAATAGAGAAATATATACATGTAATAATAATAAAAGAGAAAAATAATAAATATAATCATATCAATAATAAATAGAGTAAAATAATAAATATAATAATAGAGAAAAATAATAAATGTAATAATAACAATAATAATACATGTAATAACAATAAGTAGGTTAAAATAATAAATATAATAATAATAGAGAAAAATAATAAACAACTTTGACTCGAGTATACGCCGAGCGGGACTTTTTCAGCCTTAAAAAATGAGAGTAAACTAATAAATGTAGTAATAATAAATAGAGTAAACTAACGAATGTAATAATAATAATAAAGAGAGAAAAATAATAAATGTAATAATAACTCTTTCCAATTTTTGGATGGAGTTTCACTGCAGAACATATATGCTCAACATTTAGCATTTGCTGTTTCGCAGATACACATACGTATATTTATGTGTATGTCCTCCATTGCTGCACCTGGAGGAGCATTAGAATGCCTTGATTCTGCATTGGGGAATTTTCCTCTGTGACCTGCATCTCATTCTTGTATGTTTCTTTCAGGCCGCCATCTGCCGCTGCAGCCAGCCCTTGTCCGGCTTCAACGCTCGCTGCCCGGAGGATGAACAGCTCTTGCAGGCCATTGGGGAGGCAAACCCGGGAAGCCCCTTCATGTATGTCGTAGACACAAGGCCAAAGGTATCTTCTATAGGGGAAAACGGGGAGGCACTTACATAATTTGCATTTCTGTTGCTACTTCATCCTCATCCTCATTATCACCATTATCTTCTTCTTTTTTTTTTTTAAACTTAATCTTTATTGATAAAATTTCCATAAAAACACAAAATAGTATATATAAAATCTTTGGATAGCCAAAGAAAAGAAAAAGAAAGTGAAGAATATATATATATATATATACACATACACACACACACACATACATGCATACTTACTTACTTTCAGAACTCTAACACAACTTTCAAATTTTCATTATAAATGGCAGTTCCTAATTGGTTCTGTCATAAAAATCATCAATAATGAAATTTTGAAAGTTTTGTTAGAGTTCTGAAATTTTCACCACTAGAACTTTAGCAACACTGTAGAAGCAAAGCACCAGCGCCCCCTAGTTACGGCTTTACGGCTCTGGCCCAGCGTACCTGTCCGAATGTATCTCCTTCTACGTCCCACCTTGGAGTTTGAGATCTGCTGAGGGGGCCCTGCTCTTGGCCCCACCTTTATCGCAAGCGAGACTGGTGGGGACGAGGGACAGGGCCTTCTCGGTGGTGGCCCCTCGACTGTGGAATGCACTCCCCGGGGAAATTAGGACATCAACATCCCTCCTCTCCTTCAGGAAGAAGCTAAAAACCTGGATGTGGGACCAGGCCGTTGGGTAAGCTGGCAGAGGGTCAAAGACAACCAATAATGACCAGAGTAGGAAAGGATAACGACAATGCTAAATGGTTTACGGACTTGGATTTGGTGAACACTGACCACAAGATGTTTTTATTGCTGCTAGTATACTGTCTGATTGTTTTAATCAGTTATAACTGTGATATTATGTGGTAAATTTGTGTATTGTATATTGCATTGTATATTTGTGTATTTTATTGTGTATTTATTTATTGTGTATTTGTAAATTTGTGTATTGTATATTGCACCGGGGGAGGAGCCCCCGGTGGCACAGTGGGTTAAAGCACTGAGCTGCTGAGCTTGTTGATCGAAAGGTCGCAGGTTCGATTCCGTGGAGCGGCGTGAGCTTCCGCTGTCAGCCCTAGCTTCTGCCAACCTAGCAGTTCGAAAACATGCAAATGTGAGTAGATCAATAGGTACCGCTCCAGCGGGAAGGTAACGGTGCTCCATGCAGTCATGCCGGCCACATGACCTTGGAGGTGTCTATGGACAACGCCGGCTCTTTGGCTTAGAAATGGAGATGAGCACCACACCCCAGAGTCAGACATGACTGGACTTAATGTCAGGGGACTACCTTTACCTATATTACATTGTATATGTTGTAATTGTTAGGCATCGAATTGTGCCTTTTGTAAGCCGCCCTGAGTCCCCCCCCCCCCTCGGGGGTTGAGAAGGGCGGGGTAGAAGCACCCCAAATAAATAAATAAAATAAATAGTTTCACAAGCAGAACTTTAGTTTTGTAAGTACTTTAGAACCATTTAGAACCATGGATTGCACATGCCTACTATAAATCCCAGCAACTTCAACTCTCAAATGACAAAATCAACCCCCCCAACTGTCCTCCCTTCCTGAATTAGACTGCACCTGGCTCTCAGTAGTTTCATTATCAACAGCATCATCCCTTGCTGTGAGAAACAACTGAATTTCGGGGTGATTTTGTCATTTGAGAGTTGTAGTTCAGCACCCTTCATCTCATTTGCAAGTCCATGAGGCATGAAGCACTGTGGATAACTCTTTTGTGCCATTTCATCCCTCCAGTTGAATGCCATGGCCAACCGAGCAGCCGGGAAGGGCTACGAAAACGTGGACAATTATGACAACATCCGCTTTAAGTTCATCGGCATCGAAAACATCCACGTGATGAGGAGCAGCCTGCAGAAGCTGTTGGAAGGTGTGTGTTTTTACCATCTTGTAGATACGAAAACCTGTGTACTTTGGGGGTGTAGGAGCAGAAAGAGATTAGCCAAGTAAATACCTTGGCTTACTCATGCAGCAGAAATGGATAAGTGGCATTATGGGTTGCTGCAAGGAGCTTACCTGGAAGGGACAGATTTTGGTGTAAGGAAGGCTCCTTGGAATAAAAGCCATTTAGCCTCAAGACTAGAAGACTTCGAACTACAACAGGAAGAATGTATTGTCGAAGGCTTTCATGGCTGGAATCACTGGCTTGTTGTAGGTTTTTTTCGGGCTATATGGCCATGTTCTCCTGACATTTCACTTGCATCTATGGCAAGCATCCTCAGAGGTAGTGCCATAGATGCAAGCGAAACGTCAGGAGAAAATGCCTCTAGAACATGGCCATATAGCCCGAAAAAACCTACAACAACCCATACAACAGGAAGGTGGATTGTTTATTCTTCCAGTAAATTGTTCAGATCTAATCAGCCAAATGGAATGTGAATGTATGAGAATCAGAAGCTGGTGTCCTCACTTTTCTCGCTAGGGCAGTGTTTCTCAGCATGGAGGTCAGAACCCCAGGAGTGGGGTCATAAGGGGGGTGTCAGAGAGGTCACCAAAGACCATCAGAAAATACAGTATTTTCTGTAGGTCATGGGGTTTTCTGTGTGGGGAGTTTGGCCCAATTCTATCATTGGTGGGGTTCAGAATGCTCTTTGATTGTGGGTGAACTATAAATCCCAGCAACTACAACTCCCAATGTCAAGGTCTATTTTCCCCAAACTCCACCAGTGTTCACATCTGGGCATATTGAGTATCCGTGCCAAGTTTGATCCAGATCCATCATTGTTTAAGTCCACAGTGCTCTCTGGATGTAGGTGAACTACAACTCCAAAACTGAAAGTCTGTTCTCACCAAACCCTTCCAGTTTTTTCTCTTGGTCATGGGAGTTCTGTGTGTCAGTATTTTCCGTAGGTCATGGGGTTTTCCCCAAACTCCACCAGTGTTCAAATTTGGGCATATTGAGTATTTGTGTAGAGTTTGGTGCAGATACATCATTGTTTGAGTCCACTGTACTCTCTGGATATAGGTGAACTACAATTCCAAAACTGAAAGTCAATGCTCACCAAACCCTTACAGTATTTTCTCTTGGTCATGGGAGTTCTGTGTGTAAAGTTTGGCTCAATTCCATCTTTGGTGGAGTTCAGAGTGCTCTTTGATTGTAGATGAACTATAAATCCCAGCAACTACAACTCCCAAATGTCAAAGTCTATTTTCCCCAAACTCCACCAGTTTTCACATCTGGGCATATTGAGTATTCATGCCAAGTTTGGTCCAGATCCATCATTGTTTGAGTGCACTGTACTCTCTGGATGTCGGTGAACTACAACTTCCAAACTCAAGGTCAATGCCTACCAAACCCTTTCTGTGTTTTGTGTTGGTCTTTGTGCCAAGTTTGGTTCAATTCCATTGTTGGTGGAGTTCAGAATGCTCTTTGATTGTAGGTGAACTATAAATCCCAGCAACTACAACTCCCAAATGACAAAATCAATCCCCACCCAATCCCACCAGTATCCAAATTTGGGTGTATCGAGTATTTGTGCCAAATGTGGTCCGGTGAATGAAAATACATCCTGCCTATCTGATATTTACATTACAATTCATAACAGTGGCGAAATGACAGTTTTGAAGGAGCAATGAAAATAATTCATTTTATTTATTTACACTACTTCTATCCCGCCCATATCAGCCCGAAGGTGACTTATAATGTTATGGTTGGGGGTCACCACAATCTGGGGAACTGTATTAAGGGTTGCAGCATCATGAAGGTTGAGAAACACTGCTTTAGAGGCCTCATCTTTGGTCTGCTGCACTTGCAACCCTGACGGTTATGAAAGACACATGTTGAAAACATTCTTAAATGCCTGTTTTGCATGAACAGAGTAAGTGGCGTCCATGTGAACAGTCTCTCCATGCAAGGAAGAGACTTGATGGAAGGCTGGCGGAGACTGTTCTCTCAAAATTTCTGCATTTCTTCCCTTAGTGTGCGAGACAAAGTCTCCTTCCATGAGCGACTTCCTGACGGGGCTGGAGAACTCCGGCTGGCTGCGGCACATTAAAGCCGTGATGGATGCCGGCGTCTTCCTCGCGAAGGTAATCCCGTATGTCTCATTGGTCAAGGATATATGGTCCTCCACTTCTCCCTGAATTTTTGCTTTACAGCTGGGCTCTGGACAAGATAATTTGTCCAGATTAATAACTGGGGCAACCTACAGGGAGTGGTCAACCCCCCTGTTTAAGGAGCTCCACTGGCTGCCATTTATTTTCTGGTCCCAATTCAAGGTGCAGGTTATCACCTATAAAGCCCTAAACAGTTAGGGACCCTCCTACCTTTGTGACCATATCTCCCTCCATGAACCGCCTCGGGCCCTCCGATCTTCCGGGGAGGCCCTTCTCTCACCCCTGCCAGCTTCTCAAGCTCGCCTAGTAAGTACAAGGGAGAGAGCCTTTTCCGCTGTGGCTCCCTGACTCTGGAACTCACTGCCTGGAGAAATTAGGAAAGCCCCTTCCCTAGAAATCTTCAAAAAGAACCTTAAAACCTGGCTCTTCCGCTGCGCCTTTGGTGAGTAGTTATATAATCCCACATGATTGCTCTGCCTCAAAGTTCTGTCATTGGAGTATACATCCCCCTCATGGGAAAGCTTAATTCCACAACTCCCGCTAAAATGAGCCCTCCTCCGTAAATTACCTGCTTCCCTCTTATATCTCGCCTGAGTTTTTAATCAGTTTGTCCTTTTAATTACTACATGTTGCCCGCCCATTATTATTGTGCCTGTACATATTCTATATATATATATACACACACACACACACACACATACATACATACATACATACATACATATATATACTAGCGGTCCGCTGCAGGGCGTTGCTGTGGCCCAGTCTGGTGATCTGGAAAATAAAGTAATGAGAAAGTTTTGGTTTCTAATATATGTTATTTCTTTGTGCTTGTGGGTAAACAGTATTTCTTGCTTTCTCTTTGTCAGTGTTGATGTGGAGATTGTCTGGTTTGTCTACTCTGGAACATACAACATATTGTCCTTCTTTAGGGGTCTTTTTCAAATCTCTGATACTGCATCTGCCATATACATATGTGTGTGTGTGTGTGAATGGCTGGATGGCCCTTTGTTAGGAGGGCTTTGATTATGTTTGCTTGCCCTGGTGAAGGGAGTTGGACTGGGTAGCCTTAAGGCAGCATTTCTCAACCTGGGAAGTTAAGACCCCGGGGCGGGGGTTACCAGGGGGGTGTCAGAAGGGTCACCAAAGCCCACCAGAAAACACAGTATTTTCTGTTGGTCATGAGAGTTCTGTGTGGAATGTTTGGCCCAATTCCATCATTGTTGAGGTTCGGAATGTTCCTTGATTGTAGGTGAACTATAAATCCCAGTAACTACAATTCCCAAATGTCAATTTCTATTTCCCCCAAACTCCATCTGTGTTTATATTTGGGCATATTGAGTATTCGTGCCAAGTTTGGTCCAGATCCATCACTCTTTGAGTCCACAGTGCTCTCTAGATGTAGGTGAACTACAACTCCAAAACTCAAGGTCAGTGCCCACCAAACCCTTCTAGTGTTTTCTGTTGGTCATGGGAGTCCTGTGTGCCAAGTTTGGTTCAATTCCATTGTTGGTGGAGTTCAGAATGCTCTTTGATTATAGGCGAACTATAAATCCCAGCAACTACAACTCCCAAATGACAAAATCATAATTTTTGAGTGATGGTCACTCCTTGTGTTGTGAGATGTTTTGTGGCCAAGTTTGGTGTGATTTCGTTCATTGGTTCTTTTGTTTTTAAGGTACTCATTATGCACAGAGCATTTATATATATGTAGATATTGTTATGTATTCATGTGTGTTATGTAATGTTGATGTTATTGTTTGTTGTTCACGTTTTCGGTTTGTGTTTTTGGTTTTTCTTTATTGCAATTGTCATTTGGGCTTGGCCTCATGTAAGCCGCTCCGAGTCCCCATTGTGGAGATGGTGGTGGGGTATTATTATTATTATTATTATTATTATTATTATTATTATGCTCATTGCTGCAGAACTCAAGGCTTAAGCAACCACCGGGTGCTTTGCTTTGAGAATAGAATAATAATAATAATAATAATAATAATAATAATAATAATGATAATAATAATAATAATAATAATAATAATAAGTGTCCGACGTGTGATCCAATTCAACAGCCAAGAGAGTGTCTGCTGTGGACTCATCTTGTTATGTTTCAAATAATAATAATCATCATCATCATCATGGTACTCACCTTTAAGGCCTTGCATGGTCTGGGGCCAATGTATCTGAGGGATCGTCTCACCCCCTACCAACCCCAGAGATCCCTCCGTTCTGAGGACCAAGATCTATTGGAGGTCCCCAGTGTCAAGACCTTGCGTCTAGCGGCAACCAGACGCAGAGCCTTCACAGCAGTGGCGCCATCAGTCTGGAATGCTCTGCCACCTGAAGTTCGTGCCCTGCGGGACTTACCAGCTTTCCGCAGGGCATGTAAGACATACCTGTTCCGACAGGCTTTTAATGTTTGATACTGTTGTTTTTAAATTGTTTTAAATTGCTTTTAAATTTTGTTAGATTTTAGCTATTCTTGTAAGCCGCTCCAAGCCCCAGGGGAGTGGCGGCATATAAGTTTAAATAATAAATAAATAAATAAATAAAAATCATCATCATCATCATCTTGGGAAGTGTCCGATGTGTGATCCAATACATGTGTCTGCTGTGGACTCATCTTGTTGTGTTTCAAATAATACTAATAATAATAATCTATATAAATAAATATGTAATGTTAGTTTTTGGGATTAACATAACTCAAAAACAATTGGATGAATTTACACCAAATTTGGACACAATATACCTATCAGGCCAACCAGTTACCATCACCATTAAAAACACACAAAAACCCAGCACAACGGACTTTAAACCCCTCCCCCCCAAAATAAACCATATATACATATACGCATACGTTCATACACATGTACAAAAACACACATACATACAGACACACACACATATATACACAAGCACACACAAATATACACACCTACACACATATACATATACACATGCATCCACCATATAAACACACACATATGCATATACACAAGCACACACATATAGACAATATACGTATACACATATAAACACAGAAATATACATGTACACATGCACACATACATACATATACACCTACACACATATACACATACATACGCACATATATATGCATATACACAATATACATATACATATAAACACAGAAATGCACAAATATATACACATGTATACACTCACATATATACACACAAACACACATATATACGCATATAAACAAATATATATACACAACTTTACAACGCATGTGCAAAACCACATATATATAATCAAGCACACATATATACACATATACACAAATATATATACACACACATACACACACGCAAAACACATATACACAGACTGGGCCACAGCAATGCATGGCAGGGGAAGGCTAGTAACAACAATAATAACAGAAACAACAAGAATAGCAACAATAATAACACTTTGCTTATATCCTCCCTATCTCCCCAAGGAGACTCAGGGCGAATCACAGTACACATACAAATACAGGACAGAGACAGACAGAACAGAAAGGAGGTATGTTGTGTCAGCGTCCAGCTTTTTGGCGCCTTGGAGGTTGTGCTCAAATCCAGCCACAGGGAGTGCTGTTGTTCCATCCTCTATGACAAAGAGCCATCAGGACTTCCTCCCTCCTTTTGGTCGCTGGGCATTTTCTTGATCTTTTCCTTTATGGTATCGTAAAATACCTCCCCTGCTTGTTTAGCGGTACCTAATTTCTCTAGGCATATAACAGGGTTAAGAGACAATAGCTTTTTGTGAACAAGCACCTTGGTATCCCTACGGATGTCCCTGTTGTGACTCAGCTGGAACCACAGTGTCTCTGATGAGGATGATGGGCCTCAGGTTCACAGCCTGGTTCAAAATGCCCCTGTTATAGACAGTGAAGAAGTGCAGTTTCCCGCAGCAAGGAATGAAAGTGTGGATACTGAAAATAGCCAAGTGCAGGTGCAGATTGACTCAGAGAAGGAGGACAGTTCTCAGCCTGATAATGATAATGAGCAAGCAGGGAAACAGGCTGACACTAACGAGCAGACTGACCCTTGATGAAATGGGAACCTTAGATTGGGCTGACCATTTGGAATTCAGAGGTTGAAGGAGTGTGAGGATAGCTAACAGGAAGGAGGCCAGAGGCCAGAGAAACGCCTTCATGTTTTGCAAAGGGTATTAAGCAGTGTGTTTGGGACCAAACCTTTGTCAAAGCAGCTTTGCGTTTTACCAAGAAGCTTGTCTTTGCTTGTATGGATTATCTTGCAGTTCTAGAGTTCATGTCTTCAGGACTTTGTCATGTTCTCTTGGGTTTTTGTTTTGCTGGTGCCTTTTGGGATTAATCTTCAAAGTGCTTTTTTATATTGATCTTTTGAAACATTACCTTTGCTTTTAAGAACTTTTAACCTTTTATTTTTAATAAACTATAAAGACTTCTGGCTGTGTGCAGTTTGGTGTTTTTCAGCAAGGTGAATCTACTCTGAGGTGCGACAGTCCCCACCCTCAAACACTCCCTGCTTCATTGGGGAAAATGCTGCACTCGCACAGCTCAGGCGGTGTTGTATTTCAGTGTCAATGTTGACTTTTGTGGAGAGGTGGCTGCCATGGGAGCGGAAATGGTCAACATTTTCTAGTGTTACACCATTACGCTGTGTAACGTCAGTGTGCAAAGACTTCTATCAGATTGTTGCCCTGTACCATGAGAGTGGCCGATCCACCTCATCCCCCTTTAGAGATAAGAAGCCCTACCATGGTTGTTTCAGCCGCGAATTTGATGACAATGTTGTGCAGCATCCTTCTCTGTGATTTATTTTGCCCATCTGTCTTCTCAGGCTGTGAAAGAGGAGAAAGCCAGCGTCTTAGTCCATTGCTCTGACGGCTGGGACCGCACGGCCCAAGTCTGCTCCGTCGCCTGTCTCCTTCTGGACCCCTTTTATCGGACCTTCAAAGGATTCATGGTAAGAGAGAGAAGGGGATCTCTGAGGATGTCAACCAAAACAACCCATTCGCTGTTGTGTTCTCTCCAATTATTTCTGACTTATGTGACCCTAAGGGGGTTTCTCGTAGAGGGTTTCGTTTGGGCTGAGAAAATGTGACTTGCCCAAGAATCGTTCAGTGGGTTTCCAAAGCTGAATAGGGATTTGAACCCTGCTTTCCAGAGGCCTAGGATGCGTCTAAACTATAGAATTAATACAGCTTCATGCCACTTGAACTGCCGTTGCTAAATGCTGTGGAATCTAGATACAGAAGACAGTTCCATATTGTCTCCTAATAATATGATCTATATAAATAAAAATGTAATGTTAGTTTGTGGGATTAACATAATTCAAAAACCACTGGACGAATTTACACCAAATTTGGACACAACACACCTATTAGGCCAACGAGTGACCATCACTCATAAAAACACTAAAAAACACAGCAGAAGAGACTTAAAAACAAAAAAAAACCATTATGCATGCGCAAAACCACACACACACACACACACATATATAGACGCAAACACACATGTACACAAATATACAACACATATACACACACAAAATACATAAACACAGACTGGGCCACAGCAACGCGAGGCAGGGGATGGCTAGTGTTATATAATTTTTATATTTTTTTTATATTTATTTATTTATTTTTTTCGTGTCAGTAGCGACTTGAGAAACTGCAAGTCGCTTCTGGTGTGAGAGAATTGGCCTTCTGCAAGGATGTTACCCAGGGGAAGCCCGGATGTTTTTGATGTTTTGCCATTCTTTTTGGGAGACTTTTCTCATGTCCCCACATGGGGAGCTGGAGCTGACAGAGGGAGCTCATCCACGCTCTCCTCGGATCTGAACCTGCGACCTGTCTTCAGTCCTGCCAGCACAGGGGTTTAACCCATTGCACCACTGGGGGCTCCATTATAATATTATAATGTAATGCAATATAATACTAATACTAATAATAATAATAAGATATTATAATTATATATTTATATTGCATGTAGTATTACTAATATTACATTATAATGGTATAGTACAATATAGTAACATTTAATGCTGATATTGTACTATGCTAATAATATAATATATTGTATGTATATATATGTTGTAAGCCGCTTTGAGTCCCCTTCAGGGTGAGAAGGGCGGCATATAAATGTCATAAATAAATAAATACTCAACTTAGGCAGAAAAAATTAAATGCAACGATACAGAATGGGGGACGATGCCTGGCTCGAGAGCAGTACATGTGAAAAAGATCTTGGAGTCCTCGTGGACAACAAGTTAAACATGAGCCAAAACCACACACGCACATATATATAGGCTGCAAAAAAAGCCAATGGGATTTTGGCCTGCATCAATAGGAGTCTAGTGCCTAGATCCAGGGAAGTCATACTCTCCCTCTATTCTGCCTTGGTTAGACCACACCTGGAATTTTTGTGTCCAATTCCGGGCACCATAATTGAAGGGAGATATTGAGAAGCTGGAATGTGTCCAGAGGAGGGAGACTCAAATGATCAAGGGTCTGGAGAACAAGCCCTATGAGGAGCGGCTTAAAGAGCTGGGCATGTATAGGCTGCAGAAGAGAAGGTTGAGAGGAGACATGAGAGACATGTATAATATGTGAGAGGAAGTCATAGGAAGGAGGAAGCGAACTTGTTTTCCGCTGCCCTGGAGACCAGGACGCGGAACAATGACTTCAAACTACAAGAAAGGAGATTCCATCTGAACATGAGGAAGAACTTCCTGACTGTGAGAGCTGTTCAGCAGTGGAACTCTCTGCCCCGGAGTGTGGGGGAGGCTCCTTCTTTGGAAGCTTTGAAACAGAGACTGGATGGCCATCTGTCGAGGGTGCTTTGAATGCAATTTTCCTGCTTTTTGGCAAAATGGGGTTGGACTCTGACCCATGAGGTCTCGCCCAACTCTATGATTCTATACCATCAACCATGGTACCTTGGTATCCCTACCGATGTCCCGACCCTCAAACACTCTCTGCTTCATTGGGGAAAATGCTGCACTCACAGAGCTCAGGCGGTGTTGTATTTCAGTGTCAATGTTGACTTTCGTGGCGAGGTGGCTGCCAAGGGAGCAGAAATGGCCAAGGGAGGTTCCTTCTTTGGAGGCTTTTAAACAGAAGCTGGATGGCCATCTGTCGAGGGTGCTTTGAATGCGATTTTCCTGCTTCTTGGCAATATGCGGTTGGACTGGATGGCCCATGAGGTCTCTTCCAACTCTAGGATTCTATGAATCCTGGGAGCTGTACTTTGGTCAGGTGCCAGGACTCTTTGCCAGAGAAGGCCTTGTAAAACTGCATGCCCTTGAGCCATTGGTTTGAAACTTCATTTAATTCTACAATGTAGATGCACCCTTTGTCCTGTACCCAAACAACTATATGATGTTGCTAAAGCAGAGCCCTAAATCGTAATTAAATTATGAGTTGCTGTGAGATTTTTGGGCTGTAGGCCCATGTTCCAGCAGCATTCTCTCCTGGCGTTAGAAAGGTAATATTTGCCTGTTGTAAACTATGAGAAAAAGGGCTGTGTTTGTCATTTCCCAATTCAGTCCACCCCGTTTTCTCTGCAGGAGTATGTTATTGCCATAACATAAGTGTTGCTGCTTAATTCACCTTTCCTCATTTATTTATTTACTAGCTTGAGGACCCGGTACTGCCTGGGTGATTTGAGAAAGGAATTGTGTATTTATCAGTTATTTATATGGCTCACAGTGGTCTCAGGAAGTTAGTGAAGGTACTGCGAGTCCCATTATCTGTGGTCCATCCTCCTCCAAACTGCACCAGGATGGAGAGTGGGTCATAGGGGCTCTGTTGCCAAGTTTGGTCTTGATCAGTCATTGGGTGAGGGTCGCAGTGGTCTCAGAGAGTTAAGGTACTGCAAGTTCCATCATCCATAGTCTGTTCTCCCCCAAACCTCACCAGAATGTTGAGTTGCCATGAGGGCTCTCTGTGCCAAGTTTGGTCTTTATTGGTATTTGGATTAATGTTGCTGTGGTCTCAGGAGGTGAGTGAAAGTACTGCGAGTCCCATAATCCGTGGTCCATCCTCCTCCAAACTGCACCAGGATGGAGAGTGGCTCATGGGGGCTGTGTGTGCCAAGTTCGGTCTTGATCAGTCATTGGATGATGGTCACAGCGGTCTCAGAAAGTGAGTGATGGTATTGGAAGTCCCATCATCCATGGTCCATTCTCCTCCAAACTGCAGTAGGGTGTAGAGTGGGTCTTGCTGGCTCTGTGTGCCAAGCTGGCTCTGATACAGCCTCAGGCCTTTTCCTCTCTTTGTCACCTCAGAATCTTGGAGACCAATCAGAGACCATATGCAAATTGTACCACAGTGGCAGCCAATCAGAAAGCTGCCACATACACCTCTGCCCTATGTCCGCCGCACTTCTGCCCTCCGCCACATACAAACACTGACTTTTATTATATACATAGATTTATTTATTTACGACATTTATATGCCGCCCTTCTCACCCCGAAGGAGACTCAGAGCAGCTTACAAGGTATATATTAAATACAATATTTTATATTATTAGCACAGTGCAATATCAGCATTAAACATTGCTATATTGCACCATACCACTATATTGTAATATTATTAGTAATAAGTAATGTAAATATATAATTATAATATATTATTATTATCATATTGTGGTACATTATAATATTATAAATATTATATATATATATATATATAATTTCTTTTTTCAATTTCTCTTTCTCTGCCTCAAAGTTCCTGATAGAAAAGGAGTGGATCGCGATGGGCCACAAATTCTCACACAGGTAAAAATGAGATCAGGTTTGTATCTTAAAAATCGACTTGAGGGAAAAGGCTTTTCTGTATTGATCGTGGTTGGATTTCAATCTCAAATTTATTTGCATCCGTTTTTTGCACAGTTCGTTAGGCTTCTTACTTCTTACTTACTACTTAGGTGATCCCTTGGTGTCCAAGTAGGATAATCTTCCAGGGTGGGTCCGTAGGTGATTGTGGAGCCGTATTCTTGACCTGCATGTTCTCCCACAGTGAGGGCATTGGTTTCCAGGTGAAAGGCGGTCCTGGTCAGGGTTGGTTTGACGTGTCTTCCTCTTGGCACGTTTCTCTCTTTCGCCCTCCATTCGTGCCTCTTCAAATTCTGCAGCACTGCTGGTCACAGCTGACCTCCACCTGGAGCGCTCAAGGAACAGGGCTTCCCAGTTCTCGGTGCCTATGTCAGAGTTTTTAAGGTTGGCTTTGTGCTCATCTTTGAGCTCATCTTTAAATCTCTTTTCCTGCCCACCAACATTTCATTTTCTGTTCTTGTGTTGGAAGTAGAGCAACTGCTTTGGGAGATGCTTTTCAGGCATCCGGACAACGTGGCCGGTCCAGTGGAGTTGATGGCGGAGGACCATCGCTTCAGTGTTGGTGGTCTTTACTTCTTCCAGCACACTGACATTTGGGAAGGATGAGAGTCCATACCTAGTGATAAAAGTGTGCAGCTTCCCATCAAAATGGGCTGAGAAATGGCTTTCTGTCCTCGCAGGTGCGGCCACCTGGACGGCGACCCCAAGGAGGTCTCCCCGGTCTTCACGCAGTTCATTGAATGCACCTGGCAGCTGATGCAGCAGTTCCCCTGCGCCTTCGCCTTCAACGAACGCTTCCTCCTCGAGATCCACGACCACGTCTTTTCCTGCCAATTTGGCAACTTCCTGGGCACTTGCCACAAGGAACGGGAAGATTTGAAGTAAGTTGGTGTTTCCAAGGAGCCCAAAAGCTGGTTTGTCTTTTGCTAGTCAGACTTGAAGAGCTGGATTGGTGCATCAAAGTTGGGTTTAGAAACCATGTCTTCCTAAAGCCAGAAGGGACGTATCCCCCCCGCCCCAAAAGGCCATCTAGTCTGACCCCCTTGATATGCAGGTATACTGAATTAAATTACCATATATTCCAGAATACAAGGCCACTGGAGCTATAAGACGACCCCCCAACTTTTCAACTCAAAATACAGAGTTGAGGATATACTCACCTTTTAAGACGACTCCGCATTCAGTGCCTTCGTAGTTTCCTGACTCCTTTGTTGGGTTCAGCGAGCCATGGCTGTGTTCCAAAGTAGGGGCTGACACCAAGGCAGCAAGGATTCCTGCCTTCTCAGGCAGCTCCAGAGCGCCCTTGCTATTGCACTGGCGATCCTGGGCTTCAGCCCTCTTGGATGGAGATGTGCGTGTCAGCGGTGCAAGAAAGCCCTCGAACTCGAAGGCATGGGGAAGGAATGGCCCAAAGGTGGAGGCGGGGCCAGTGCCAAGCTCTCCGCCTCTTCCTCACATGCTTCTAGCATGGAGGGGCTCGGCATGAATGACGTGGGAGAGTCAATGCCAGCGGAATAGCAAGTGACTATCATCCGAAGGTGCAAGGAAGCGCTTTCGGATGACTTCCTGCAGCCCTGGGCGGAGGCATAACTGGGATGGGCTTGCTGAGGCATTCTGGGAGCAGTCGTTTCCTGACTCCTACGGCTCCCAGAGTGCCTCAGCAAGCCTATCCCAGGCACGCTGCCACCTGAGGCTGCAGGAAATAGTCCGAAAGCGCTTCCTTGCACCTTCGGATGATAGTCTCTTGGTACTGCCTGAACAAAAACTTTGCACTAAATGACCTCAGTAGCACTTTATTTAAGCTGATGAGGAAACACAACATACAAACAATCTACAAACCCACCAAGAAAATCCAACAAATGCTACGTTCAGCAAAGGACAAGAGGGATCCTCTCACCTCTGCAGGAGTCTACCGTGTACCATGCAGCTGTGGAGAAGTCTACATAGGGACCACCAAACGCAGCATTGCCCAGACACGCATCAAGGAACATGAAAGGCACTGCAGACTACTTCAACCAGAGAAGTCAGCCATAGCAGAGCACCTGATGAACCAGCCTGGACACAGCATATTATTTGAGAACACAGAAATGCTGGACCACCTCTCACATCCACCATGTCAGACTACACAGAGAAGCCATTGAAATCCACAAGCATGTGGACAATTTCAACAGAAAGGAAGAGACCATGAAAATGAACAAAATCTGGCTACCAGTATTAAAAAGCTCTAAAATTACAACAGCAAAACAACAGAGAGGAAACAACCAGGCACAGATTAACACCTCCCAGCAAGAGATTTTCCCAGGCTCAGGCAGGCCTTCAAATGCTAATGAAGGTGATCAGTTGAAACATTCACACCTAGCTGCAGCAGAGGAAGAGCTCCTTGCCCCACCCCAGCCATTCCACAGATATATAAACCCATTGTCCTAATTCCAACAGACCTCACTAACCTCTGAGGATGCTTGCCATAGATGCAGGCGAAACGTCAGGAGAAAATGCCTCTAGAACATGGCCCTATAGCCCGAAAAAACCCACAAGAACCTAGTGATTCCAGCCATGAAAGCCTTCGACAATACTTTATTTATGGTTTGTGCAATTGAATCCTCCTCATCCCCGGACCCCCCTCCTGATGTTTGACATTGTCCTATCTCCCAGTGTTTAAAATTTTAATTTTTTAATAATTTTATCCTGAATTTGGCCCTGCCCAGCGAAATCTTTTGTATCTAATGTCTGATTTTATATTGTTGTGTTGCTATTATATTGTTTTGCATTTATGTATTTTATTTTTTGGTTTTATTATGTTCTTGTGTTATATTGTTGTGTATTGTACTGATGGGCGTGGCCTCATGTAAGCCGCACCGAGTCCCCCTGGGGGAGATGGAGTGGGGTATAAATAAAGTTTATTATTATTATTATTATTATTATTATTATTAATATTATTGGGGCAGGCCCCACCTCCACCTTCGGGCCGTTCCTTCCCTCTGCCTTCGGGCTCGAGGGCTTCCTTGCACCGCTGATGGAGGGTGTGTGCGTTAGCTGCGCAAGGAAGCCCTCGAGCCCGAAGGCAGAGGGAAGGAACGGCCCGAAGGTGGAGGCGGGACCAGCGCCAAGCTCTCAGCCTCTTCCTCACATGCCTCCAGCATGGAGGGGCTCGGGATGGACAACATGGGAGAGTCAATGCCGGTGAAATAGCAAGAGGAGGGTTTAATTGCACAAACCATAAATAAAGTGCTCCTGAGGTCATTTAGTGCAAAGTTTTTGGTCAGGGAGTAACAAACTCTCTCCCTCTTCCTCACATGCCTCCAGCATGGAGGGACTTGGGATGGACGACGTGGGAGAGTCAATGCTGGGGGAATAGCAAGCGACTATCATCTGAAGGTGCAAGGAAGTGCCTCTGGACGATTTCCTGCAGCCCCGGGCAGCGGAGTGCCTGGAATGGGCTTGCTGAGACATTCTAGGAGCCGTAGGAGTCAGGAAACTACTGCTCCCAGAATGCCTCAGCAAACCCATCCCAGGCACACCTCCGCCCGGGGCTGCAGGAAGTCGTCCAAAGGCGCTTCCTTGCACGTTCGGATGATAGTCGCTTGCTATTCCGCCGGCATTGACTCTCCCACGTTGTCCATCCCGAGGAGGTGAGCGGCGGGGGCTGCGGGGACAGCCAAGCGGGCGATCACCTTGGCAATACGGCCTGCCGCTCCTCCCCCCAGTGCCCTCCCTCCACCATCATCCTCCTCCCTCCCTCCTAAGGTAGTTGGATTTTATTATTTTCTTTTATTTACTATTATTTTAATTTTATACCCGGCATACTAGACGGCCCCCAACGTTTCTTAAGATTTTCCAGGCCTAAAAAGTCGTCCAGTACCTTATTTACTCAAATCTAATGGGCATCTTAGCCAAAATTGAGGTGCGCATTACAGTCGAGGGCGTGCTAGATTTGAGTAAATAGTACTAAATAATAAACTAAATTGCTACACTAAGTTACACCTGGCCAAAGAAGGAGAGTCCACCCCTCTTCAACACAGTTCGTGCCTCTGTCATATTCATGTATCTATTTATATTTGCATAATATTTCACTTTTCTTTCAAATGGGATTCAAAGTGGCTCGCAAGACAAATGAAAACAGAACAGCTACCGCAATACCACCCTCATTCCTTTTTTTAAAAAATTTCAGTATCTTCGAGAAGACGCATTCCTTATGGCCCTTTCTTCTGCAGAGGAAGCAAGAATTCAGGAATCCACTCTATAAGGGATTTGCCACGTACAAGGAACTTCGGCCCAACACTTTGCCATACAGTTTCCAGTAAGATTGCTATTGTTATTATTTCATAGAAAGTGTCAGGATCTCGGTATCAGCCTCAGACTGGCTTCTTGGGTACAATTGGGGATGGTAGTGTAGATATGATATCAATTTTGTGAAGGAAATTGACACTGCTGTTAACGGACTGTGTGCATAGTATTTGGCCACTAGGGGGCAGATGGGAGTTGGGCCTGATATATACAGGAGGTTTGAGTGGGAAAACTTTAGAACTGTCTTTTTAGGATTGCGGAAAGAAGGAATAAACCACTTGTCTCCAGCGTTTATTGTTGTGAGCTTGATTTTGACTCAAAGATCTTAGAAAGTGAGTTCCTTTGTAATGCAGTTTCTTGCTCTCACCTTAAATCTGAGTAGCTCCATGACCAAATCTTGTGAAGCTGCCAGACGCTTGCATTTTGCTTATCCTTCAAAAATGGTGGTTGCTTATCAGAGTCTAATTCATCCTTTCTCTTTCTTCCCGAGGTTCTGGTGTGGCCTGTATAACCGGTTTGACAAGGGGATGCACCCAAAGCAGTGTGTGTTGGACCACCTCCTGGGCTGCATCCGCCAGAGACTGGAGTTGGAGGATGCTGCAGCAGAGCTGGAGGAGGTGAGTTTTTCAAAACATTGATGGAATGTATCCCCACCTTCGTTACTAATACAGGGCTTGAAAAGCCTTCCCCTAAAGATCTCAAAACTCAACCAGGCGTAGATTGGAGGGCATGCAGTCTTTTTGGAGTCAAGCTGTAGCCTAAAGCAGGGCTTCTCAAACTTTTTCAACCATGGGGCGCTTTTGGAAGCAAACGTTCCTCGTGGAAACCAGAGACATGTATGTATGTGTGTATGTGTGTGTGTGTGTGTGTGTGTGTGTGTGTGTGTGTGTGTGTATCTTAGGCATGGTTAGGTTCAGTCACAATCTTCGTAATTCAGAATAAATTTGGAAAGATATGCTTTTTGAAGCGATTTCAAAGTTTTTAAGGAAACCGGAAGTCCCTTTGCCCTTCCGAAGCCTTTTCTGCCGTTTCTCTTACGAATCAGTAAGTGAGTCGGATTCTCCAGAGATGTCGATTTAAACCAGAGTGGATGAATTCAAAATATGAAGGGGCTGAAAATTAAGTACAGCGCTATAACAGACTAACGGCAATAGCAGGTACTGGTCTTTGGCTGCTCATTTCCAGGGCCTGTTAGAGGGATGACTGGGGTAGTAGGTAAGAGTGCAAGGCCATATTCAACAATGTTTGGGGCTGGACTATAACTGGTCATTCTCAAAGTCATGTCTAAACCACCAGGTCTTCAAGGTCTTACGAAAGAAGGGGAGGGATGGGGCCTGTCTTATTTCCCTTGGAAGGGCATTCCAGAGGCAGGGGGACACCACGGAGAAGGCCCTCTCTCTCGTCCCCACCAACCATACTTGTGGGAGCGAAAGGAGGGCCTCCCTGGAAGATCTTAAAGTTTGCGCCGGTTCATAGAGGAAGATGCAATTGCGAAGACAGCAGGCCCCGAACCGTCATGGCCTGCACCTTGAATTTGGCTCGGCAACTTATCAGCAGCCAATGAAGCTGTTTTAATAGGGATGTTGTATCCTCCCTATAGTTTGCTCCAGTAAGGAGCCTGGCTGCTGCTCGATGTACCAATTGGAGCTTCCGGACCATCTTCAAGGGCAGCCCCACGTAGAGCGCATTGCAGTAGTCCAGTCTGGATGTAACTACTGTAATGTCAGACTTCAGAAGGCATGGTCGTAGCTGGCGCGCAAGTTTGAGTTGTGCAAAGGCCCTCCCAGCCAGTGCCGACACCTGAGCATCAAGCGACAGCGTTGAATCCAGGAGGACCCCCAAGCTATGGACCTGCGCCCTCAGGGAGAGTGTAATTCTGTCGAGCACAGGTTGCCACCCAATACCCCGGTCGGCCCCGCGACTGACCAGGAGGGACTCTGTCTTGTCTGGATTAAGCTTCAACCTGTTAGCCCTCATCCAGTCCATCAGAGCTGTCAGACACTGGTTCAAGGCCTTGGAATTCAGTGGAAATGAGTAGTAGAGTTTGGTGTTATAACAGCGCAGCTGAGTGGTAGAGAAGATTTTAAATTTGATTTTATCAGACGGGGAAATATAGAAAAATAATCCCAACGCTGCTCAGCCAAATTATAACGATGACATCTCCACTACAGACTAGCTCACCAAAATATAGAGGGAGTATGGTTGTTGAACCAACTGAACATTTAGAAGTTAGAAACTGGGAACCACTGGAACTGAGAGACTTAAAATGATTCTTCAAAAGATATCCGCTGCCACCATATTAATAATGAACAGGCTGAGGTATTATCGAGAGGTTGTTCAGTACCACACCCTGTGTCACTATAGTTTTCTTAGAGGCTGCTGAAAACTGACTTGAATAATGATTTTAATATTCACACTGAGGCTGGTATAAGTTGATAAAAATAACAAGAACGTTTATTGAACAGGCTTGAATTATTCAGGTACAAATGCGTAATGGTTTCAGTAGAATATTGGCATAAAAAGCTTGTGATTGCTTTTGAGTAAAGATCTTAAAAACTTCTGGGTTACAAGTCTTAAAAGTTTCAACACAGAAAATTACTTCAGGAAATGAATCTCTGAAAGTAACTCCCAAAAATCCCCCTTAGGAATCTAGCCAAAACCCTGAACTAGCTTTCCTTAGGAAATGAACAGACCACTAACGGGGTGCTGCTCCATACAGTATTCTAGCTATATTCTCAATAGCTATTCTGAATACTACACAAAGGACTGACCCAAACTTCTTCAAAACCCAAACTGCTTTTGCTAACACCCACACTTCTCTCTACCCTTTCCAAACTCCAACCCGTAAACTGGGACCTCAAACCTCAGTTTAAAAGACACTTTTTTCCTTCAGACCACTTAGGCTCCACCCCATCTTCCTAACCAATCCTAGCCTTCTAACTTTCCCTCCAAGACTAGAACACGCCCCCTCAAGGCAAACCTAACCTAAGATGGCATCTCCCTGTCTCCCTTTCCTAAAATGAATGCCGTGGCTTCGCCAGGCCCACTCCCTTAGGCTTTTGCCAGCTAGCTAAGGAAAGAGATTCATTACAGGTGTCATCTGCGTAAAAACTGCCAAACTCCAGATAACCTCACGCAGTGGTTTCATGTAGATATTGAAAAGCATGGGGGATAGAATGGAACCTTGCAGAACCCCACAGGTCAAAGGCCATGGGTCTGAGCAGGTATCCCCAGCTTCACCAACTGGGAGTGACCCTCCAGGAAGGAGGGCCGTATATAAACACAGTAACTAAATAAATTGTTTCCCATTTAAAACGGATTCCTTTCTGTCCATCCAGAAGCTGCCTCTCGCCGATGGTCTGCCGGAAGAGGAGACGTCCACCTTATCCAAACGGACCACTGCCTCAAGCAGTTGCGCCAAATCCCCGATGCTCAACACTCCCCAGGACTATGGAGAAAACCCTCCTCTGATTCTGGCCAACGGCAGCTTAGCCAGGAAAGAAAGCGAGGGACCCAACCGCCTGCCGAAGAGCCAAGAGGGCCTTGCGAATCCCCTCGGCATTTTGGAGAGCGAGGTCATGGCCGCCAATGGCACTGCGCAGCTTGATGCTCCAGCACTGGATCTCCAGGACCATTGAACTGAGCCTATTGCCGCCGCGGAATGCTGTCTACAGAGCACGCAAGAGCCTTGGCCCACATATGGCTACGTGTTGTGTCCTGTGTATTGAAAGTGGGCAAGGGGAAGGAAGGAGGTCCATATTGGAGGCCCTTTGAGGATGAAGGTCATTGTGGGGCTGGGCATACATTGAGCTGGGAAGATCTGCCAAAATAGCCACCGTCCACACCATCCAATTCTTCCCACCATGGCTCATGTCAGAGGCTAAGTGGCCCTCTTTTCCATAATTTTTAAAGGACATCGTGAAAACGCAGTATCCGATCCTGGAATGGAAAATGGACGGAGCTGGTGCCGAATGGGTACCGACGTTGGTCGGTTTGGAAGACGCTTTGCTTGTGACACTTTGCATGGGGTATTCCGTATTGCGGCACCGTCGGGTTGAATTTATTTGGCACTGCACTTAATTTTTTAATCTTTTTTTTTTTGTCAGTTGTCGTGCCTTTTAATTCTATCCTTTTTTTCAAAGTGTGGTCTGTCCAGCCATTTGCAAGGAGTGCTTCGATTCATGTGACTTTAGTGGCTGTAATGTGCAAGGGCCGGCTCCTGTCTATATTTTAAGAAAACATGCCGATAGTGAGCCCTCTATTGACATTCATGGCACTGAATGATCTAGTGCAGTGGTTCTCAACCTTCCTAATGTCGCGACCTCTTAGTACAGTTCCTCATGTTGTGGTGACCCCCAACCATAACATTATTTTCATTGCTACTCCATAACTGTAATTTTGCTCGTGTTGTGAATTGTAATGTAAATATCTGATATGCAGGATGTATTTTCATTCACTGGACCAAATTGGGCACAAATACCCGATATGCCCAGATTTGTATATTGGTGGGGTTCGGGGAGATTAATTTTGTCATACTGGTTGGGGGAGGATTGATTTTGTCATTTGAGAGTTGTAGTTGCTGGGATTTATAGTTCACCTACAATCCAAACTCCACCAATGATAGAATTGAACCAATTTTGGCACACAGAACTCCCATGGCCAACAGAAAATACTGAAAGGGTTTGGTGGGCATTGACCTTGAGTTTTGGAGTTGTAGTTCACCTACATCTAGAGAGCACTATAGACTCAAACAATGGTGGATCTGGGCTCAATACGCCTGAATGTGAACATTGGTGGAATTTGGGGACAACAGACCTTGACATTTGGGAGTTGTAATACCTGGGATTTATAGTTGGCCTACAAATGAAAGAGCATGCTGAACTCCACCAATGATAGAATTGGACCAAACTTCCCACTCAGAACCCGCATGTACTCTCCCTTGCTTGCACATGCATACCACGCTGCCATGCACTGAGCATGCCTGCTTGAAGTCCGCCACTGTGATTGACTGAGAGGCTGGCCAATCACAGCAGAGGAGAACTTTTGGTGGGAGCATTTGCCATCTGTTTCCAAAAAGGAAGAGAAGGACAGGCGGTGAGATCTTCAGCCTTCTCTGTCAAAGGGGTTCCTAAGACCATCAGAAATATGTTGTCTGATGGTCTTTGGTGACCCCTTGAAAAACCCTCGTGATTCCAACAGGGGTCCCGGCCCCTAGGTTGAGAAATGCTGTTTTATACGATTTGATGCACTTTGGGAGTAAACTTTCCTCTTCTCTTGGGAGTTTATGGGCTTCAGAAATCTGCTGGCCAAACTGCTGATCAAACAGATGGCAGGCGCTGCCCTTGGAGCAGTGCTGGAATCATAGTTCTCCAAACTTTTAGGATCTCCGGGGACTCCAGCTCACAGAAGCCCCAGCCTCTTGACCAATGGCCAAGGATTTTGAAAGCCAAAGAGGAAAAACACCTCTGTTTGGTTTACAGCCAATCTTTGAGGTTTGCCTGTTGTACCAACCCAGCGTCTTCTTATTTTCAGACCATTTGAAGTGTTTCCTTAGCATGCAGCTTTGGCCAAATGGCATGTGTTGTCCCAAATCCGTTTGTAATTTGTGCAATTGGCCCTCTTTTCCTCTTTGCCCTGTTGACCAGAGATCCCTTGGAGATGGAGAGCATCCTATGGCTTTGCATGGCTGTTTTCCTTGCTTTTGCTGATCTAAGAATGAAATGTTTAATGTCCAAAATGTGAAAAAAGACATGACAACTCAGGACTCAAAGGGTTCATCTGAAGCACAGGATCGTGGTAGAAGAGATGAAAAAAAGCACATACTGACCAAACCTGTAGAGGCAAGCCATGTTCACTGACAGTTATGTATACTATGAGGGTTGCATGAAAAGTAATTTCTCCACCTTCATAACTCCTCAACAGATGGCAGTACTGGTATGCAGCAGGTACTGGCTTGTTCAGTAGACTCTCCTCTACAGTTCCATTTTGGCAGGAAGCCTTAGCATTGAATGGACCTTCATGACTCCTCATCAGATGGCAGTACTGGTATGTGGCAGGTACTGACTTGTTCAGTAGACTCTCCTCTACAGTTCCATTTTGGCGGGAAGCCTTGGCATTGAACGGACCTTCATGACTCCTCATCAGATGGCAGTACTGGTATGTGGCAGGTACTGACTTGCTCAGTAGACTCTCCTCTACAGTTCATTTTGGCGGGAAGCCTTAGCATTGAACGGACCTTCATGACTCCTCATCAGATGGCAGTACTGGTATGCAGCAGGTACTGACTTGCTCAGTAGACTCTCCTCTACAGTTCTATTTTGGCAGGAAGCTTTCGCATTGAATGGTTGTGGTGTTAAAGTGCAAAGTTTGGAACCTTGCGCAGATGGTTGGTCAATGCAACTTAAGCAACGTGCAGTCATTGAATTCTTGACAGCAGAAGGAGAGATGACAAACAGAAGTAAGTAGAAGAGCCTCACCATGGCAGTACATAGAGAGCATTGCCATGGAGATTTAAACAATGCAGATCTATATAAATAAAAATGTAATGTTGGTTTGTGGGATTAACAGAACTCAAAAACCACTGGACGAATTACTGCCAAATTTGGTTTAATCCTAATGAGATGCCTTAATAAACTAAGTTTGTTGGGTCCACCAATATGCATGGTGACAATGTATTGTCGAAGGCTTTCATGGCTGAAATCACTGGGTTGTTGTAGGTTTTTCGGGCTATATGGCCTTGTTCTAGAAGCATTCTCTCCTGACATTTCACCAGCATCTAAACCCAATTTTCTTAGCTCCAACAGACCTCACAACCTCTGAGGATGCTTGCCATAGATGCAGGCAAAAACGTCAGGAAAGAATGCTTCTAGAACATGGCTATATAGCCCGAAAAACCTACAACAACCCACAACAATTTCATCTTAACATGCTTTACTCTTAATAAGCTGTCTTGATAAACAAGATTTGTTGAGTCTATCCGGTCTCATGACGGTGTAATAGTTTAAGATTAAACATGGTTTAATTGTTACGTAGTTTAATAAGCTATCCCAATAATTAGCTTTGTTCAATACACATGGGTTGATTTGGTTCATCAATGACTGGTAGGCATGTGCAATCCATGGTTCTAAATGGTTCTAAAGCACTTGCAAAACTAAAATTCTGGTGGTGAAAACTAGGGGGCGCTGGTGCTTTGCTTCTACAGTGTTGCTAAAGTTCTGGCGGTGAAAATTTCAGAACTCTAACAAAACTTCCCAAATTTCAGTATTATTTCTTTACTAGCTGTACCTGCCACACTTTGCTGTGGCCAACCTTCCCTCTTTCTCTCCTTCTTTCCCTCCTTCCTTCACTCCCTCTTTCCTTCCTTCCCTCCTCTTTCTCTCTTCTTCCTTCTTTCTCTCCTTTCTTCCTTCACTCTTTGCTTCCATGCTTCCTTCTCCCTTTCCTTCTTTCTTTCTCTCCCTCCCTCTGTCTTTTCTTTCCTTGTTGCTTTCTTTTCTCCCCTTCCCTCCCTCTTTCTTCTCTTTTTTTCTGCATTGTCATTTAGCTTTTCGTCATTTTAATTTTGGGGGCATTGAAAGTCCCTTCTGCTGTGTTTTTCAGTGTTTTATGAGTGAAGGACATACATTGGGTTGTTAGGTGTATTGTGTCCAAATTTGGTGTCAATTCATCCAGTGGTTTTTGAGTTCTGTTAATCCCACAAACTAACATTACATTTTTATTTATATAATTGATTATTTTTGTGACAGAACCAATTAAGAACTGCCATTTATAATGAAATTTTGAAAATTTTGTTAGAGTTCTGAAATTTTCACCACCAGAACTTCAGCAACACTGTAGAAGCAAAGCACCAGCGCCCCCTAGTTTTCACTACCAGAACTTTAGTTTTGTAAGTACTTTAGAACCATTTAGAACCATAGATTGTACATGCCTAATTACAGGATACCTTAATTAAGCAGTTTAATCTTAACATGGTTTAATAGCAAGCTGTCTTAATAAACCAGATTTGTTGGACCCATCAATACATATGATGAGTCGATTTGGTCCATTGATGCACCTGATGACTTGATGGCTTAATTAAACATGGCTTAATCTTGACATGGTTTAATTTTAATAAGCTGTCCTAATACACTAGGTTTGTTGGGCCCATTGATACACACAATGAGTGGCATTGGCAAGAGTTGCCCTGAATTTTACATACTTTTTATGCCTCTTCTCAAATACTGTTTTAGATATAAATGTGTCCATATGTCTATGTATACATTGTGGTAGAACTCCGTAGTGGCTGCATTGTGGGGTGTTGTGTTTTCGTAAACGTTTTCAGTTATTTCGGAAATGACTCGAAAGGCGAAACTCTTGTCTTGAGATTAAATCCAAAATAGTTTGCAGTTTCTGAGAGTTTGCTGGCTGAGTATCACCTTAAAACGTATCTGTCAAAAAAGTGTGATGAATGGCTCCTTTGTCTCACCTTGAATCCATGTTTTGAGTCCAGTTTCAGTCAATGCACTGTTTCAAATGTCGTTTCTGACCCATAGTGTTGAGAGTGTGGTCTGATGGAGAGCTTGATTTGTAAGTATTACATTTTTTATTACCAAAAAGAATAAATCTCTTGCATTTTTAACGCACAGCCTCTGTCTGCTGACTTCTTGGCTCAGATTTTGATTTTTTTTCTTTATTTGTATTTTTTTTTTGTTAAAAATTGAATGGAAAATAGTTGTAGTATTAAAGGCTTTGGCCTTACCTGTCGTACACTGGAGCAAGAACAACTCTCACTTTAAACACCACACCAACTTGGTAAAATCAGCAAGCAGTTTATTGAAGAATATATGTAGGCAAAGCAGTAAAATTTGCAGTAAAACAGTAAAGTTCCCAAAACAAAGGTTAGTCCATGAGTTTCAAGGCAAAACGAGATCCATAATAATAATAATAATAATAATAATAATAATAATAATAATGTAAGGATGTGCTACCAATTTGTAGAGAAGCCACCAATTTGTCACGAAGCCACCAGTTTGTAACAGTTTGTAAAGGAGCCACCACTTTGTAATGACTTACTAAGTTGATAACACAGCTAATAGCTTGTAATATTGATTTGGTCTTTCTTCAATGTGTAGTGCGGCTTGACTTGGAAATATTTGTAACAGAGACTTGGCTTTAAAAGAAACTGTAACAAGTTTATTGAAGTATAGAAGAAGCTTAATGGTTTCAATGTTTCTTAACTCTTAGAGGCACATTTCTTCAGAGGTTACATTTATAACATTTCATAAAACAACTCTTGAGAGGACTATTCCTTCCACTAAACAGGTTTTAATCTTATTTGCCTTCAAAATGTGTTTGTTTCTTTAACAGATCACTTCAGGTACAGCTTATTCTTTCCTTATGTTATTTCTGTTTCAGTAAAGATTCTTATTAGGTTTTTTTTTCTTTTTTGCTCATATGCTAACTA